GGCTGTGAGTCCTATCTTATGTAACACATTGTTTGCACAGGCAGAGAAACGGAGGCAGACTAGAAAGAATCGTACTGCTAATCCCACACTTACTGCGGCTTCTATCAGTTGTCCGCACTGCTCAAGAGCTTTCCAGGCTCATATTGAACTAATCCGCCACTTTCGTACTTATAATCATCGATCCTTACTGCTTTGGATGAAAGTTGTCTTCATCACTCGTGATGGATGAACAACATGTAACATATTATGGTACAACAGGACAACAAAGATGTCTAAAATTAAAGTTAAAGGGCCAAATTTTAAGGAAGCGGCGCGTCAGATTTATGATGCTAGGCTCGTGAGTTTATTGACCAGTCAGCTCTAGGTGGTTGATGTCTGCATCCCAACTCGCAGGCCACCTAAACTTTCCAAGGAACGTTCATAGAACCCATTCTGAGGTAGAGTGGACCGGGTAAGCAAAGTTAATTTTTGAAGAAAAAAAAAAAAACCGAGCCGGATATGAATTACAATCCTAAATTTTGGGTCAGAAGAGTCAAGAGAAGTCACTACTGAAGGGCGGTTTCTATCAGTCTATAACACTACCAACAAAGTGGCGCTCTGGTCACTTATTAACCCCATGTGGGTTCCCGGGTCCCATTGTAGGGAAAACTTGACTAGACCCACTACATAACCAACAAGCGTGTCGTAAAAGTCGATTTTTTGAAAGCTTCCTTTGAAGTCGAAGTACAAATTACTAAGAGGCAGGAAACAACATTCTGCATACAACTAAGTCAGATCTGTAAAACGGATGTGTACGCAAGACTCAGGTACTAGATTAGGAGTAGAGTCCAGAAGTAGACAAACAATCAGAGACTTTCCACGGGAATTTACAACCGGTAAACCGGAAAAAAAAAAAAAAGAAGAAGAAGAAAGAAGAAGAAGAAGAAGAAGAAGAAGAAGAAGAAGAAGAAGAAGAAGAAGAAGAAGAAGAAGAAGAAGAAGAAGGAAGAGGAGGAGGAGCATGAGCAGGAGGAGAAGAAAAAGTAGTAGAAAAAGAAGAAGAAGAAGGAAAAGAAGAAGAAGAAGAAGAAACAACAGCAGGAGAAGCAGCAGAAACAGCAGGAAAAGCAGATGTAGAAGCAGATGTAGAAGCAGAACAGGATTAAAATGCAAATAATTACAATATGTTCCAGTTTTCTACTTCTCAATTGTGGGCCAAAGTGTACTCTTCTAATGTTTATGATAATCTGTCTTTCTGTCTTGGTCTCATTATAAAAAACTGGGACACGTCGGTTGCATGTCCATGCTAATTTTGAAACGTCAGGTTCGATGGCTTCATGATATTTCCTTAGCTGTTTAAAAATGGTCCAGGGTTCACATTCGGACATAAGTCACATAATGTGCATTCTTTAAGAAATTCCTGTGCCGGCCTGCACTATTCTCTATGGGGGAAAATTAAAATGAAATAATGGATCTTAGAATACATTAGTAGTAACAACACTCACATCGTTTGTCATCAGTATGAAAACAATCTCTTTTGTCATCGATCCTTCTTTGTGCATCAGTAACATTTTGCCCTCAGCGACATATCGTATGTCAGGAATGTCAAAGTTTTAAAAAACTGAGTATAAATGAAAGAGAACAACATCATCATCATCATAATTATCGTCATCATTATCACAATCTTCTTTTTCTTCTTCTTCTTCTTCTTCTTCTTCTTCTTCTTCTTCTTCTTCTTCTTCTTCTTCTTCTTCTTCTTCTTCTTCTTCTTCTTCTTCTTCTTCTTCTTCTTCTTCTTCTTCTTCTTCTTCTTCTTCTTCTTCTTCTTCTTCTTCTTCTTCTTCTTCTTCTTCTTCTTCTTCTTCTTCTTCTTCTTCTTCTTCCTCTTCTTCTTCTTCTTCTTCTTCTTCTTCTTCTTCTTCTTCTTCTTCTTCTTCTTCTTCTTCTTCTTCTTCTTCTTCTTCTTCTTCTTCTTCTTCTTCTTCTTCTTCTTCTTCTTCTTCTTCTTTTTCTTCTTCTTCTTCTTCTCCTTCTTCTTCTTCTTCTTCTTTCTTCTTCTTTTTTCTTCTTCCTTCTCCTCCTCCTCTTCCTCTTCTTCTTCTTCTTCTTTCTTCTTCTTCTTCTTCTTCTTCTTCTTCTTCTTCTTCTTCTCTTCTTCTTCTTCTTCTTCTCTTCTTCTTCTTCTTCTTCTTTCTTCTTCTTCTTCTTCTTCTTCTTCTTCTTCTTCTTCTTCTTCTTCTTCTTCTTCTTCTCTTCTTCTTCTTCTTCTTCTTCTTTTTCTTTCTTCTTCTTCTTCTTCTTCTTCTTCTTCTTCTTCATCTTCTTCTTCTTCTTCTTCTTCTTCTTCTTCTTCCTCTTCTTCTTCTTCTTCTTCTTCTTCTTCTTCTTCTTCTTCTTCTTCTTCTTCTTCTTCTTCTTCTTCTTCTTCTTCTTCTTCTTCTTCTTCTTCTTCTTCTTCTTCTTCTTCTTCTTCGTCTTCTCACACTTACTCTCACTCATACCCATACATACACTCTCAAACATACCCATTTTAGACTTCGGACTGGACACTATGGTCTTCGAGCACATCTGTAGAGGATAGGCATAAAAGAATCTGCTGCCTTTGATTGTGGAGCAAAAAGACAGACCCTGGGCACACACTGCAGTACTGTCCTTACCTCTCCCAGCAAAGACTGTGGATCTGGCCCAAGGGAGCCGCATTGAAAGAGAAGCTATGGGGGACCGGATGGCGACCTTAAACGCACAATCCTATTTGTGACCCAGACGGGACTCAATGTTTAGCATGACTGATGTCGAACGCAGAAGAAGAAGAAACATACCCATGCACGTACTCTCAAAAATACATACTCATATATGTCCACACATTCATACGTATACATAAATGCACACGCACATGTATAAACACACGATTATGTTTAACCAGTCATACACACTCAAACACACACACATGTACACGAACACACATACGCTTTCATTCACGGATATACACATACACAATCGTATATATTTATACATATAAATGTGGTGTGTGTGTGTATATATATATATATATATATATATATATATATATATATGTATATATATATATATAATACATGTATACACTCCTATATACACATACATACACGCTTATACATGTACATATATGCACTAAAATTCATGCATACACATACCGCAAAGCGCCACACACAATGAACGATTAACACTTAGTGACACTAGTACAAACTCCGGAAACTTCGTTAGTTCGTTGGTTAGTTAGTAGTTAGTTAGTTAGTTAGTTAGTTAGTTAGTTAGTTAGTTAGTTAGTTAGCTAGCTAGTTAGTTAGTTAGTTAGTTAGTTAGTTAGTTAGTTAGTTAGTTAGTTAGTTAGTTAGCTATTTAGTTAGTTAGTTAGTTAGCTAGTTAGGAGGTTAGTTTGTTAGTTGATTGGCTGGTTGGTTAGTTAGTTGTTTGGTTAGTTAGTTGTTCGTTAGTTAGTTGGTTGGTTAGTTAGTTGGTTGCTTAGTTCGTTAGCTAGCTAGTTAGTTAGTTGTTTGGTTGGTTAGTTCGTTAACTAGCTAGTTAATTAGTTAGTTGGCTGGTTGGTTAGTTAGTTAGTAGACAGATTATCTTTTTTGCTCATTAAACCATTCAGTCCATAAGTGCTCGGATCCCCTCCTCAGTAAATTCCGCAGCTTGAAGCGGCTGACGACACCAGACTTCTGATGGTTTCTTATAATTTGTTGGCGTCCTGCGTAGTACTCTTGTCTGGCCACACCCCTTGCAACATAACCTAGTTCAATCGAAATGTTTTAACGGGACCCCCAGGGATTACAAAATAATCTTAAGTTCAGTTAGAGTATGGCATGTTTTTGAAAACTTAGTGTCTCCATAAAGGAATATAACTGTAACCGCAATATCCGATAAGCTTCATAATTTCCTGATAACACTGAAAAGAACAGACACAACGCAAGCTGATATTTTAGTATATAAACAAAAGACTATTTGGAGGTTTGAACAACGAATCAACATAATAGCATACGGGTAGTAACCCATAAGTGCTCCGTTCTTTCTTCTAATTTAAGTCTAAGTCCGAAGAAGCTCAGCACACTGCACAGGCTCTGTAGCACCGGCGAGGATCCTGAAATACTTTGGGTAGATTTTTAAACGCCAAATTTTTGCCTGAGCAGCGCCGTTAGGCTACTCTTTCCGATTTCCAACCGCCAAGGAATTCTTTACGTGCACAACAATGCACACGGGAGTCCGATCTCACTAAACAAAGACAAGTGGGGATTTCTAGAAGTCCAAGTCCACGTGAAAAAATCCCAGCCTTTATCGGGGATTGAACCCGGAACCTCTAGCACTCGAGGCGGACACCATGCCTCGAGACCACGCAGCCCTAAGACTGTTTGGAAAGAAACTTTATGCTCGCTGATCGCAGTGCACTCTGTGTGACATTATTAAGAAGGTGTTAGTTAACCCTAAAAATCTTAGGGACAGTAAAGTTATCTTTTCTTTTCCTCTTTCCCGCTGACAAGAACAATGACCCCCAACCCACCCCCCCCCCCCCCGACCCACCCCTCCCCTCCCTCTCCCCACACACACACACACACTTACAACACATTGAGAAATGTGTCTCCCCCACGTCTTCAAGATTAAACGCCCGCGATAAAAGTACAACAGAAACCAGCAAGCCGCGACATTTAAACAACATCACGACTTGCCATTTTACCAAGCAAAAAAGATCAACTCGCCAGTTAGTGGAGCCCGTCCTTCCGCGGCTATCGGCCTTTTCTTCACGAACTGAGAAAGCTGAGCAAACAGGAAATAACACTTTCTATTCCTCGTACTCTTCTTTAACACTGCTCTGTTGTCTGAGAGATGTCAACTTGTCTGTCAACCATGTTGTTACTTTACAAAAATATTTCGGTATGTCATTATCTCAGCAACATACAGCTGTGTTAGTTGAGAGAAAGTGCTTTTGGTTGTACTACTATTTTTTTCCTTCAGTTACAACAGATTTAAATGTTGCGCTATGGACAATGTCTTTACCACACACAAAAATTGTATTGTTATTTATTTGGAGCAACCTTAGCACAGTTGTCTAGTACCATATTCTTCGATCCAGTAGTCTTAGATTCGAATAGTTAAGGGTATGTTTTTAAATGTAACTACTTACTTCGAAGTCGGAGTGCGTCTGCCTAATGGGCGAGGAACGAATAGTCTTCACACAAATATGCAAGATTTTAAAACGGATGTGCATGCAAAACTCAAGGTCTGGAAAAAAACCAAAGTCGAGAAGTGGACAAACAATCAAAACCTTCCGCCGGAGTTTTCAGCCGGTGAGCAATAATAAGAAGTAATTTAACTACAATCCAATGCCGCCTCAGCCTTTAAAAAAAAAAAACTGCTAACGCGAAATGTTTTCTGAAGTAAAGACGGTATACGTGATATTGATCACAATATCTATCGAATACCTTCCGTCTATTAAGTATATGATGCAAAACGAGTTCTTTATTTTTTTCCTAATATTCGATCGTGAATGCAAATATCAATTGGAAACTGCATCTTTTGGTAAAGTGAGTGTAACTGTTGTACAATGTTCATTAAAACACAAATAAGAAAAGATAATGAATAACAAATTGTCAAATCTCGCTCTCTCTCTCTCTCTCTCTCTCTCTCTCTCTCTCTCTCTCTCTCTCTCTCTCTCTCTCTCTCTCTCTCTCTCTCTCTCTGTCTCTTTCTCTCTCTCTCTCTCTCTCTTTCTCTCTCTATCTCTGTCTCTATCTTTTCCTCTCTTTTTTTGTGGGGGGGGGGGGGGGGGGGGGGGGGGGGGGGGGGGGGGGGGGGGGGGGGGGGGGGGTACAGTTTGTTACTTTATTGAAATTATTTTGCAACGGAAAACATTCGTTTTCAGCGATTTAAAAAACTGTGATCTGTGAATCTGGACAGCGTAAACATTATGAACAAATTGTGAGTAAAACGACAGTCTAAACCAATTTAAAACAATGTAAGCTTACAATACGGACTTTCCTCTCTTGCTGCAGAAACCATTGGTCGGTCTAACACAATATTCTTAATGAAGTCACATTAATAAATCCTAAAAGTTACCATATTCTTAACTTTCAATTTCCAAGAAAGATTGGAACTCTCTGAAATATGATAATATCATTCTGGCTGACGTTGAAGACAGGTTATATCATGTTGACGTTTTTGCGGATGTCTGGAGCGGTGAAGCTGAAATCACAAGACTTAGTCTTGGCAAGTAAGTGGAGCAAACGAAAAAAAATCCATTTTCATAACTAGTCTGAATCAGTAGATTTAGAACTTCTTCTTCTTCTTCTTCTTCTTTTTCTTCTTCTTCTTCTTCTTCTTCTTCTCCTTCTTCTTCTTCTTCTTCTTCTTCTTCTTCTTCTTCTTCTTCTTCTTCTTCTTCTTCTTCTTCTTCTTCTTCTTCTTCTTCTTCTTCTTCTTCTTCTCTTCACCTTGTACCTCATCTAACCACAATAGCGAATATTGAGTAGTGAATGCGTGTAGTAAATATCATCATAAAATGTATCTCAACAAATTAACTGCATTTATTTAAATTTATCACAATATATAATCTTGCCAAATAAGTTGAATCTACTTACTTACTTAGTCGATCCACTTCTTTCTTGGGGTGTAGAGGGTTGCCAGATAGACTGCCAGACTGCTCTGTCAGCGGTTTTCTTTTTGGCTTTATCACATTCCGGTCCTCTGTCAGTCAGGGACTGTCGGATGTTGTCTTCCCAGCGGGCTCTGGGTCGCCCTGGAGGTCTGGTTCCCTGGTTCTTAACCTGTCGTGGTAGCCGGTTCTCTCCCATTCTGCATACCCAACCCACATCTTTCTCGACTCTACTCATATTCCCTCTTCCCAGTATCTCCTGTCTTCTTTTTCTTTATTTCTACTTCCTCTTCTTTATCTCTGTCCTGTATAAAAGCATTATGTTTTTCCCTTTCCATTAATTTTAGCAAAGGTCAATATATATATATATATATATATATATATATATATATATATATATATATATATATATATATATATTAACATGTGTCTATCCTTTATTTAGTGTTGTATTCTTGATTACATACAGTGTCTGGAAATGACAGTTACATATCAGTACTATAAATAGGTAATGTTTTCTTAAGACAACAAATGTTGATTTGCACAACCATACATATTTACCAACAAACGGCGACACTAGTAAATAACACATACACAAATACTTACAATACAGTACAGGCAAACATCACACTAGGGGGAAAAAAAAGAAGAGAGAAACTTCAGAGAAACTGCCATTCTAAAATATAAGTATGTCTTTTGAGCTTGCGTGCCTAATAAGATACAAAATACATTACAATTTTAGTTAACTAAGAAAAGAAAAAAAAAAAGGATCTGTGACTGATCCATTTAAGTTGGTAAGGCCTAGGTTTCAAGAACATGACGTATAGTCATATTTCGAACTTTGTTCCTTCTTGTCACTAAGACCACCTTTCTCAGATAATTTTATTTCTGAGGCATCAAGCCGGCTTCTGTGAGCTGTTGCCCATAACTCGCATTTGTAGGTCATGACTGGCGCATAGATACAGCAGTATGCAACCATATCGTCCTCTTATAAATTTTTTTTTTTTTTTTTGGCTGAGAAACCAGCAGCTGCTTTTCGATTAGCCAGCTCTGTCTTAATGCCTCCATTCCTGTGTATTACAACTACATGGTATTTGAACTGGTTAACTTGTTCCAGTGCATACTGTTCCATCATTAACTGGTCACTCTTCTTCTCTCTTGAGATCACTATGGTTTTAGTTCTGAATACGTCTCTTATGAGACAAGTAAGATGGACTTCAGATGTGCCTCTGGTTTAACTATCAGGGCTACATCGTCTGCACATGCCAGCTCCGAAATACAGATTTGGTCTCATCATCCAATACCCTACTGAGTACTTCTTTGTCTTATCCTTAAAGATCTTGATGACATCATCCATCAAAAGAATGAAGAGGTAACGTGAGACAATATCCCCTTGTCTAACAACGCTAGTGGTCTTAAATTCTTTTGGCTTTTGGTCTGCTATTCTAACATAATTTCTGCAGCTTTTGTAGAAGCGCTGTATTGCACTAATCCGAGGTGCTAGTATATTTTACCCCCTCCCCCTCCTCCCTCCAATCCCCTGTCAAGCAGTCCCAGAGCTTGCTCCAGGGAACCTTATCAAATGCCTTTTCTAGATATAAAAAAAGTATAGGTGCATCCCACTTTCACAATCAAGAGCTTGTTCACTCATATGTTTGAGTGTGAAGATAAGGTCTTGACTGCTTTGGTTTGCTCAGAAGCCGCATTAGGCCAGATCCAGCTGTGGCTCTACCATACTTCTAAGTCTCTGCTCGAGAATCCAAGAGTAACTTTTGCCAGGAACGCCAAGGAGAGATATGTCTCTGTGGTTTTCACATTTTCTGTTATCGCCCTTTTAAAATATGGGTATAATGATGGCAATCTCCCAATCTTTTGGTATAGTTTTACTACACCAGGCTGCCTGCAGAACCTTCAGAAGAAGTCCCTCACCTGCGACTCCCAAATATTTGACCATCTCTGCTGGTATTCCATTATGTCCTGCTGCTTTCTCCAGTTTAAGCTTCACAATAGCTGTCTTCAGTTTTTCCATCCTGATGTTATCATCGCTGTTGACGATTTCCTTCTCTGTAGAGAAGTTCATTATTTCTGGGACATGATTTTATTCAACACCGAGGAGCTCTGAGAAGTTCTTTCCATCTGTTCTTGCCATCTGTCCATATCAAGTGTGGTAGTAAGCAGAGCTCCTCCCTCTCCTTTTATGAATTTCAGCGGGCTTTCATTTTCCTTACACGTGTTCTTGAAGCTCTTTTAGAGCTGTTTTTTGATTTTCTCTTGAATTCTTTCCTTGCTTTTCTCAAAATTCTTTCTATGATTTCTGTTTGCATTAAGCACTACATTTTTTTTTACCTCTGTTCTGAGTGTCACGTACTGTTTATATTTCTGTGGGTTTTTTCCGGCTGTGTTCCTAGCTACTAGGCATTGCTTCCCTGCAATAGAAGGTTTCAGTGTCCTCTGACTGTATTTCTTGCTTCTGTTGCTTTTGATATAAGCTCCTGGTATCTAGCCTTAATCTCTGGCTCTTATCTTGCATGCCTCAATCCTCACCTAATCTCGGTTGCTTGATTTCTTGCATAGTTGTCGGTGTTGCCTTGTTGGAGCAGTTCTTTGGTTGTTCTCTTTAGTGGTCACGTCAAATCTCTGGTCCTCTCATGACTGTGGTGTCTCTCACAAACTTGAATAAACGTTTCCTTACTATGGCATATTCGATGATGGATTTCTCATTCTTTGAAGGTTCACATCATGTGTATACATAAAATCGTTGTGGGGGAATTTTATATTTGTAATTACAAAGTTCTGTTCCTTACAGAACCTCAGAAGTCTCTTGCCATTGTCATTTAAAACATCTTCACCATATCCCCCCAATCGCTAAAACCCGTCTTGAGTGATAATTCCCTACTCTGAAATTTAGATCCCCTAGGAGGATAATTTCATTGGGGCAATCATCTATGGTTCTTTAGAGCAGATTAAAGAATCCTTCTTTGACATCTGTTTGCTCGTCTTCATTTCGTCCGTACACAATGGCAGTATTGACAGTTTTATCTTCTTTTTTTTTCAGAACTAGCACCATAATTCGCTCCGAGATTATTTCCACCCCTTGGTGATACAAACTTGATTCCTAGCCACAATGCAGTCAACACCTTGCTTCGCTCTCTCTGTGATAGGGACACTACTATAGAGCAGTATATTTCCATCCCTTGGTGTTACAAACTTGATTCCTCGCCTCAATGCAGCCAACAATTCCCTTGACTCTCTCCCTGGTAGGGACACTACTTTAGAGCAGCATATTTCCATCCCTTGGTGCTACAAACTTGATTCCTCGCCCCAATGCAGCCAACAATTCCATTGACTCTCTCCGTGGTAGGGACACTACTATAGAACAGCATATTTATATCCCTTGGTGCTACAAACTTGATTCCTCGCCACAATGCAGCCAACAATTCCCTTGGCTCTCTCTGTGGTAGGGACACTACTATTGAACAACATATTTCCAACATAATCGGTGAGCAATTACCCCTTTTTTTTTTTTCAGTCAGAGCCAAGACTCCTTATTTTGCTTTTCTCATCGTCCCATTATCTCGTTTTACTTTCCGTCCATACCTTGTATGTTCCATTAATCGTAGTCCGTAAGCCATGCCAATTTGTCGCTTCTGAAGGTCCGTCCAGTTTTCTCTCTGTGGCGACTTGTAATCTTAGTTTAAAGCAGACAGGTGATTGGTCTATTGTGCTTTGCCCATCTGTGTATATCTGCCCTGGTCCTCTGACCCCTCACCCAACAAGATATGTTTGCGGCAGCGCCCCTGCCACACTTGTTACAGAGCAGACCCGCAAATGAAACATTATAAATGGCATTTAGTCCATTAAGATGACACACTAATACAAATTAATATCATCTTTCAGTTTCAGGTCCTTGCACCAGCGCCCCCTGTCTCAATGCCGGAACATGCACGGTCCTGTCTTACCTGACGTCCTCCTACAGCTGTCAGTGTCTGCCTGGATACACGGGCAACAACTGTGAACTAGGTCAGACATGTCTAGTCCACTAGTCACCTCATGTCCTTGCTTCGGTTTAACGATTATGCAATGATAAAAATAGCTAGTCCGCTTTGTAAGGGGGGGGGGGGGGGGGGGCTAATTATACACAGGGTGTTTTTGAACAATCCAAGATAAACCCGGATATGAAAGTTGTTGAGAGAGACCAAGGCGGTGGACTGGATTACATTCGTGATATTGGGTGCATTACGCGGATAGAACGGAATGGAGAATTAGACGGCAATCCCTATGAAACGTTTAACACAAGAGCAACACAATTGGATGGTGATAATTAGGATGATGACGTTTCGTTGTTATGAACTAGCAGAGCAGTTATAACATTGAAATATCATTTTGGAGACATGTGTTCATATCTTCGATGAGGTAGTAGTGATTTATCGTTTTGTTTATGTTAATGGGGCAAACACAAAATTTCAAACCTACACAGATCGTGACTATTGCATATTCATGTGGTTCTTGCTTCTCTGGCTCAGACATTTCTGTCCTATTCAGGCCTAGCAAGTATCAAACATGGATCCTTTCTGAAACTGATGAGCGCAAGATCATAATAGAGATCAAATGTCTTAAATGAGCTGCCAGCTTAACAAGAAGTGATAGATTTTAAAATAAAGACATTTGAAGAAGAATATGACTTAAATCAGCCCTAAAGTTGTTTAGGGAGTCGCAGTGGCGTTGGCGGCTAGAGGCCTGCCTGTGGATCAGAAGGTCATGTTCGGGTCCTGACGGTGCTGGATTTTTTCCCCTCTAAAAATGACATTGACTCCTAGGTCGATCCAGCCTTGAATTGGTACCAGGTGCAGTCATGGGAAGTAAAGGTGGGCGGCGTGATGCTGACCACATCACCCACAAAGTGCCGATGGACTATAAAATGTCGGTCCAGCCCTATATGCCCAATACATCTAATGGCGTGGAAAAGGGTCTTTTTTTTTTTTACTTTAGTTGATTAAAGAGCAACAAATGGTTTGAACATCTGGTGAGAATGTCCTGACACCAACTACTACAGAGAATCACACTGGAGACACACAATGGACACAGAGCAACGGAAAGACAGCGCAGAATATGGGACAATGGCATCAAGAACAACTTCAAGTAAATAAAGACTAAATTATACAACGAGTGGAGATAGCACGGAGAAGATTCTTCCATCTTCCACAACACTGATAAAGTAACAGGCAGAAGTGAAGAAGAAGAAATGCCATGTTCAGTTAATTATTTTCTTCCTTTCGTAGACAGTAATTTTCTACTGCTTTTAGTATTTCATACTATCTAATGTATTCTCTGATAAATACAACTTTACCATGTACCAGGAAAGTCTTTGTGTAACACGATAGAGTAGATAGTTATACAATATAGTACACGACATATAATTGCAAATATACGATGGTCTAGTTTGTGTGTAACAAGAGCTATACTTATGTTTATGACTTACCTGTACAGCCATTTATAGTAATTCATTCTTCCCACAACAAAACTTCGTCATTAGTATTGTCATACAATGTTATATCAGAATTTTTAACGTTGAATGTTAAATTAAAAATCGACATCACAGCACTCGGGGAAAAAGAATAATATCTGTGAATTTTGTGTAAATAAGTAAGTAAGTAAGTAAAGATCCCTTTTCACGCCTTCAGGCGCATCGGGCATATGGGAAGAGCGTCCCATATTTTTCAGACCAATCAGCAATGTGTGGGTAATGTGGTCAGCACTACGCCGGCCATCTCTACTTCCCCAGGATGGCCATCCTGGTACCCATTTGAGGCTGGGTCGACCTGCGACACCCCATACCATGATAAAAATCCACGCAGCCAGCAGTGGGTTTCGATCGCGGTACGTTGGAATTACGAGTCTGACTCGCAACGCCTAAACCACGGACGCCGCACTACTACAGTAAAACCTCGTAAATACGACTTTCAATAGGCCGAAAACAGAGTTTGTGTTCTAAAATGTGTGCTAAGCAGAGACCTAGTATCAATAACACATCCCTGTTTAGACTAAATTCTGTTTCGTGGTCACCAAGTGTTTTCAAAAGAGTTCGTATTAACAAGATGTTACGGTAGTTATAGTTTGCCACTTTCAAACATTTTGCTGCCTCAGAAATGTTGCCGCCCTGTGCAGCTGCGCACATTAAGATGCGCCTAGACAGACAGTTTAGGCAAGACATACAAACTAAAGGATCCTTTTCCACGCTTTCAGGCGAATTGGGCACATAGGGATAGGCCTATATTTTATAAACCAATCGGCACTTGGTGGGTATTGGGGTCAGCATCTCGCTGTCCCTTTACTTCACAGGTCTCTACCTGGTACCCACTCGAGTCTGGGCCTACATGAACGCCAAGGTCATTTCTGGCACCAGGTAAAGTCCTGGAAAGTAAAGGCGGCCGCAGTGGTTCTGACAACATCACACAATAAGTGCCGATTGGTCTATAAAATATACATCTAGCCCTGTTTGTCCAATACACCTGAAGGCGTGGAAAAGGGTCCTTTACTGTTAACATGAGTTCTACGTGGATCAAACAGTACTTATATACGTTCACCCGACAGGAGTGGACGAATGCGCCAGCTCACCGTGCCAGAATGGAGCGTGTGTGGACAGCATCGGCTCCTTCAGATGCCAGTGTTTCCCAGGATTCACAGGGACGCTGTGTGAGCTGGGTAAGATATGAGAACGTGCCATGTTTGCTTACTTCTTGGCCTTCAATGATTATGTCTTTTGTTGTTGTTACTTTTTATATTTACAGCAGAGGTTGGCGGCAGGTAATATGTCTTAGCTGTTGTCTTAGGATTATAAACGTTGTGAGGCTCCTATCCCTTCCAAGATGTAACTCCCGTACCCCAGGGTGCTGGAAAAAATAAGGGGGCAGGGTGGGGCTTCCTTTTTTAAAAGAGGATTTTTGAGATTATTACTATTACGCACTTAAAGGAGACGAACCTCTTTGAGACCCCCATCCACCCATAGCAATTTGTAATATGGCTGAGCGCCTTAATTACCTCCTTGGGGGAGGGGGGATGGGCCGCACCTGCTGGCGCTATTATCCGAAAGCTATAAGTGCACCTGACACTCAGAGACGCTGATAAATTCAGGAACCTCAATAAGGCAGGCATAATGTGTTTGCATATCACTTGGTGTTCATGCGTCTGAGTCGCTACAGATAGCATGCACTTTTCTGTGTTAATTGGGCAATTGGTCTACTAAAAATATGTCTTGTATCCCTACAGTTATCTGGCTAGTATTTACTTCCGGTGGCCATACCCGTGTCACATTTCAAATGTCCAAACAGAAATGCGATTTCTGTCAGAGATACGCCAGTTAAGCGTTTTCTTGTTTGTAATTATGACAGAAACAGAATGGGACAGGCAAAAACTGCATTTTATAAAATGAAAAACATCTTGTGCAATATATCCTTGTCATTGAGAGTTAGAAAAAGAACTCTTGCTTGCTACATACATCCAGTTTTAACATATGGCTGTGAATCCTGGACAATCGGTAGGCAGGCCAAACAATTTCTAGAGGCCTCAGGGATGTGTTTTTACAGAAGAATGCTTAGAATACCTTGGACAGCCAAAAAGAGCAACCAAGAGGTTTTGAAAGAGGCGGGAGCCCGAAGACAACTTATCACAGACATCAGAAGGAGACAGTCATCATTTTTCGACCATGTTATGAGAAGAGGGAAAATAAAACATGTTGTGACCACTCGAAAGATCTGTGGAAGGAGAGATAGAGAAAGACAACGAGAGAAGATGCTTGACAGTCTTGTTGCATGGCATGGAGGTGTGTCGGCACACGAACTGATACATGCTGCAGGAGATCGCAGATTATGGAGAGGCATGATCGCCCACGCCAGTCGGCAAGGCGCCTGATGATGATGATGATGATGATGAGCATACGTGAGTTACAATTTGTATGCTAAGCATCACCCGTCTATTTTCTTTTCGTATTTTGCGGTTCAGTTTTCTCTACAATTTTTTGTCAACGTGTTTTCAGAAGTGATAAGCATACTCGAGCCTTTATTTTACGAAATCATCCGATCATTATATTACATTTTGAAGGACTTTCCTAAAGTTTTAGTTTAGAATGAGTATCGAGTCGCCATCATTATTTTATCAGCATCAAGTCGCCATCATTATTTAATAATATTAATAATAATAATAATAATAATAATAATAATAATAATAATTATTATTATTGACAATGGCTCTAAAGTCTACCAAGGCTAAAATAGATACTAGGAAAAGTCCCGGAAAGTAAAGGCCGCAGATATTATGTTAATATTACGAATGTAGCGCTGACAAGTCCTTAAAAATTGATCTCCCACAATATGTCCGATTCACCAATGGCGTGCGAAAGGTCCTTTTACCTCATGCGAAGGTACAGATGGATCATCATGGTCTCAGGAGACTGTCTGGGGAGAATATCTAGGGAAATGTCTGGGTGAAATGTCTCAGGGAAATGTGTGGGGAGAATGTCTGAGGGGAATGTCTGAGGAGAATGTCTGAGGAACATGTCTGAGGAAAATGTCTGAGGGGAATGTCTGAGGGGAATGTCTGAGGGGAATGTCTGAGGAGAATGTCTGAGGGGAATGTTTGAGGAGAATGTCTGAGGAACATGTCTGAGGAAAATGTCTGAGGAGAATATCTGAGGAAAATGTCTGAGGAGAAGTCTTAGGAGAATATCTGAGGTGAATATCTGAGGTGCATGTCTGAGGAGAGTGTCTGAGGGCAATGTCTGAGGAGAATATCTGAGGAGAATGTCTGAGGAGAATGTCTGAGGTGAATGTCTGAGGTGAATGTCTGGAGAGAATGTCTGAGGAGAATGTCTGGAGAGAATGTCTGAGGAGAATGTCTGAGGAGAATGTCTGAGGAGAATGTCTGGAGAGAATTCTGAGGAGAAGTCTTAGGAGAATATCTGAGGAGAATATCTGAGGTGAATGTCTGAGGCGAATGTCTGAGGAGAATGTCTGGAGAGAATGTCTGAGGAGAATATCTGGAGAGAATGTCTGAGGGGGAGGAGAAGTATGGAGAGAATGTCTAGAGAAATCTCTGAGGAGAATGTCTGAGGAGAGTCTTAGGATATATCTGAGGAGAATGTCTGGGGAGAATGTCTGGAGAGAATATCTGAGAGAAATGTATGTGGAGAATGTCTGGAGAGAATGTCTGGGGAGAATGGCTGAGGAAAATGTATGAGGAGAATGTCTGAGGGAAATTTCTGAGGGGAATGTCTGATGTCTGAGGGGATTGTCTGAGGGAATGGCTGTCTGTGGAGAATGTCTGAGGAGGAGAAATGTCTGAGAGGGAATGTCTGAGGAGAATGTCTGAGGGGAATGTCTGAGGATGTCTGGGGAGAATGTCTGAGGAGAATTTTCTGAGGAGAAATGGCTGAGGAGAAATGGGGAGAATAGGAGAGAAATCTGGGGAGAATATCTGGGGAGAATGTCTGGGAGAATGTCTGGGGAGAATATCTGGGGAGAATGTCTGATGGGAATTTCTGGGGAGAATGTCTGAGGAGAATGTCTGGGGAGAGAATGTCTGGAGAGAATATCTGAGAGAAATGTCTGAGGAGAATGTCTGAGTAGTGAGATAATGTTAATATTCTGAGGAGTCCTTAAAAAATGTATGTTGAGGTGCGAAATGTCTGCGGAGGCACAGGATCATGGTCTCAGGAGATGTTGAATATCTAAGAAAATGTCTGGGCGAAATGTCTGAGGAGAATGTCTGAGGGGAATGTCTGGGGAGAATGTCTGAGGGAAATGTCTGAGGAGAATGTCTGAGGGGAATGTCTGGGTAGAATGTCTGAGGGGAATGTCTGGGGAGAATGTCTCAGGGAAAAGTCTGAGGAGAATATCTCAGCGAAATGTCTGAGGAGAATGTCTGAGGGGAATGTCTGGGGAGAAAGTCTGAGGGAAATGTCTGAGGAAAATGTCTGAGGGGAATGTCTGAGGGGAATGTTTGAGAGGAATGTCTGAGGGGAATGCCTGAGGAGAATGTCTGAGGGAAATGTCTGGGGAGAATGTCTGAGGGGAATGTTTGAGGAGAATGTCTGAGGAACATGTCTGAGGAAAATGTCTGAGGGGAATGTCTGAGGGGAATGTTTGAGGGGAATGTCTGAGGGGAATGTCTGAGGGGAATATCTGAGGGGAGAATGTCTGGGGAGAATGTCTGGGGAGAATGTCTGGAGAGAATATCTGAGAGAAATGTATGGGGAGAATGTCTGGAGAGAATGTCTGAGGAGAAGTCTGAGGGAGAAGGAGAAGTCTGATATATGAGGAGAGAATGCATGTCTGAGGAGAATGTCTGAGGGAAATTTCTGAGAGGAATCTCTGAGGGGAATTCTGAGGGGAATGGCTGAGGAGAATGGCTGAGGAGAATGTCTCAGGAGAATATCTGAGAGGAATCTCTGAGGAGAATGTCTGAGGAGAATGTCTGAGGAGAATGTCTGAGGAGAATGTCTGAGGAGAATGTCTGAGGAGAATGTTAGAGGAGAATGTCTGGAGAGAATGTCTGAGGAGAATGTTAGAGGAGAATGTCTGGAGAGAATGTCTGAGGAGAATGTTAGAGGAGAATGTCTGAGGAAAATGTCTGGAGAGAATGTCTGAGGAGAATGTCTGGAGAAAATGTCTGAGGAGAATGTCTGGAGAAAATGTCTGAGGAGAATGTCTGAGGAGAATGTTAGAGGAGAATATTTGAGAAAAATGTCTGAGGAGAATGTTAGAGGAGAATGTCTGATTAGAATGTCTGGAGAGAATGTCTAGAGAGAAGTCTTAGGTGAATGGTACTGCGAGTAGTGACCAGGATATCTGGCCTACGCTCAACACTCAGGGGAAATATCAGACGGATATACAGTCGGGCTTTTACTTGTGCCATTGGAATAAGAACTCTGCACTTGCTGCTGTTGATGGGGACGTAGCTCTTAAGAGAATATCCCGAGTGCTTATTCGTCGATTCTTGATTAAACAAAAACATTAAACATTACCCATTACCAATACTTCAGAAAACACAAGGCGATTGACATGACAGATTATTTATTAATGTTATGTTTGCCGTAAATCACTATCGTTTTGCTTCTATGGCCATCTAACAGATATCAATGAATGCCTCACATCCCCGTGTTACAACAACGGCAACTGCAGCCAGACCTCGCCTGGGCAGTTCATGTGCACCTGCAGGAAGGGATACAGGGGTGTCAGGTGTGAGACAGATATTAACGAATGCCTCTCTCTTAGCCCTTGTCAAAATGGGGGTCTTTGTTCCGAGGGTCCTCCTGGATCATACGTCTGTGAATGTCTACCCGGTTTTTCAGGTAAATGTATAGTATAGTTAAGTTAAGTATAGTTAAATGTATAGTATAGTTACATCTAAGAGCAGATGTCCTATTAGTTATAATTTAAATTGTGCTAACATGTGTATAAATGATAGTATCTACTGTTTGCGGAAGAGGAGTTGTGTAAGATAGTTTTGATGGGAAATGTAATTTGGTAGAGAAGCAAATCTTCACACCAGCCTGATTCTGATGTATGTAAACCTTGTTTAGAACACTAAATACCTGACTGACAAAGAATGAATCTTGTTTTAGGGGTATGAGAAAACATCTGACAAGCACGATTCTTGTTGTGAGAGCCACGCGAAATATGTTCCATAAGGAACTATTTGTCTGTATA